TGATCTGATTTCTTCTGATACACTCCTTCCTGTGGTGAATTTGACTTTTTAAGTCTCTTTTTTTGACGCTGTGACCTCTCACTAGAAAGTTCCACAGAAAGCTGACTCTCATTTAAATTCTTCGCATCAAATTCTAAATCACTTAAAGATTTTTCTGCTTTCCTCTTGCACTGCCAGGACCTCTTTTTATTAGGACTTGGAACTGGATTTAAGTTTATCCCTTCTAATGCACTTTCCTCTAGCAATTTCTCTTCTTTTCTTTTGGGAGGTAGTCCAAAATACACACCTATATCTGTTTGCTTCATTACTTTGGTAGAACGATGTCTTGCATTACACTTAGGACCAGAAGGCAATATTTTCAAAGACTTAGCAGCAGGTGTACTAGAAAAGTTTTCTGTATTTAAAACTGTAGCTTTACCAACTGGTACACCATCTAATTTCTTTCTGCAGAAGCATGCTGAGTTAGTATTATTCTTAGCATTCAAGCTCTCACTTGGTAATTTTCTATTTTTACTTTGGGTTGGTTGGGAAGAAAGATATCCTCCTCCCTGGCTTTCAAAAGGTTTCGACGTTAAACTCTTAACTAACGAAAGAGAAACTTGATTGTAAACAGCTGACTCTTCAATTACCTGTTTCTGGTTATTTGATTGAGATGAGTGAAATTCTGGCTCATCAGATTTTGCTTTAGTTGCCTGATGAACAGAAGCAGCAAGCTTGCCTGCCAATGCAGGTGGAAACAACACAAAATCACCACCATATGCTGGCTCATAAGGCAAAGTACTCTCATTATTTTGGGAAATAGGTTGAGACAAATCATTTAGACTACTGAATCTATACAATCCTTCATCATGCTTATCCTGAGTTAAGCAACTATTCACTTTGGTGCAGCTCTCGTCCTGGTCCTTCAGTAAGGGACTATGTTGTTTTATAAGCAAAGTACAGCTGTCATCTTCTTCAAGGCTGCCATCTTTTGAGCTTTCTGTAAAAAACAATTCTTGTTGTGAATCATCCAGTTTTTCATCGATATCATGAGGGTCTTCATCGCTTTGAAGTGGAGAATAGGAGATTCCACAGTCGCTAAAATCATTTTCTGGCAATGGCAAATTTATGTGTTCTGAGTTGTTTGGGCTGCTTAATTCTTCATCAGCAAGAGGCAAAGCAACTCCTACCAGTTTGTCATTCTCAACAAATTCGGTAAATTGCAGAGCTTGTTGGGATGTTTGGATATTAGCAGAAATCTTTTTATTGGCTTCAGTTGGAGATGGAGATTTTCTTAAATACTGTGTCATCAATAAGGGATCATTTGAAACTGAGTTATCAGTTTGGTTCCGATTCAAAGACCATCTTTCCTCAAAACTGCAAAGAATGCCTGACTTAGTCTCACTGAAACTGCCACCTGACGCAGGTGATGGGCTGCTAAAAGGATACTCACTAGCTCTGCTTTGAGCTAGCAGGAAGTGAGAGTATCTCTTGTAATGAAATGGAATTGTTGAGGTACACAGAAGACCATCAGGACACTCTGAAATTTAAATTAAAAAAAATTATAGGATCAAAGCAGAGACTAAGCTTTGACAACAATAGCCCTATAAATTGGGTTCCATTATTTAACATTCACATTGTATATAATAACAATTTTAATAAGTTTAGTTATAATTGCTGATACGCTGAAAAGTTATAGATTCTATTCTAAAAATAGAATTTGAGAAATTGGTTAATTGTAAGGCTTTACTAATTTGGAAACTATTCCCTGTCAAACTATTATGATTGAGAAACTTTCTATAAGCCATCTCTGCATATCCCTGTATATGTTAATTTCCAGGTTTATCAAAAAATGACACCTCCTTCCCCTCAAAAAGATATTACATTAAATTAGAAATCTTCGTGGTTTAAAACCTAACTTAAAACTGCCTCATAAAAGCATTTGTTATAGAACAGAATTTAATTCAAGAAGAACCATCTAAGAGTCTATTCAAAGGAGTTTAGTGAAATACTGAAAGAAAATATTTTTAAGGTGGCTTCACTCTACAGGACATTTCACCCTAAGGTCTTCAACCATTGACTCCAATTCCATTCCTGATTTTCAAGTTACATAAAAGCAAATTACTAGCAAATTTATGAGGTTTTCACTTGCTATACTTTTATGGGAAAGGCTAATGCCCAATTTAAAGAAGGGGTTTTTTTGCATCTTCATGCAGTACTTTAAAATAACTACAGGTTAATAATGAAATGTATTCTGAATTATAATATGAAAACAATATTATTTTTTTATTTTACTGAATTTTAACTTTTTCAGATTAAAAAATCTATATATAGTATATACGATTACTTTAAAATATATAAACTATCACAACAATGCATTCTCCATATGCATTCTAAGTGGGATTTTCTATATTAAATACTTATCACATATTTTAAAAGACAAAAACGCATACTTTTGTTATCATTTGACACATCTTTTTGTTAGAATCTTAATCACCTATGACTCCTTCACAGTTCCTCTTCCTGTATACATTAGCATGATGACCAAAACATAACCATATTTAGAAACCACACTATATCTATACTTATTTTTTTTCAGACAAGGTCTCACTCTGTTGCCCCACCCAGGCTGGAGTGCAGTGGCATGATCACAGCATCCTACAGCCTCAACCACCTGGGCTCAGGTGATCCTCCCACCTCAGCCTCCACGTAGCTACCACACCTGTGTAATTTTGGTATTTTTTTATAGAGATGGGGTTTCACCATGTTTTGCAGGCTGGTCTTGAACTCCTAGGCTCAAGTAATCCATCTGCCTTGACCTCCCAAAGTACTGAGATTACTGGCATGAGCCACTGTGCCTGGCCTATTTATAGTTTTCTATACAGTTCCATAAAAACGACAAATTGGGCAAGGTATTTGACTTTTAAGAACTTTCATCTATAAAATATCAACACCACCTTCCTTACATGGTGGTTGTGAAAGTACCCAGCATAGTAAGGATTCAATTAACATTTACGAAAAATAATCCAGATGTTTAGGAACTTTTATGAAATAACAAAATGTATTTAAACTGTTTTCCAGTCTGCCATTTTCTTTATGATTATACCATTGACTGGTATGGTATCTCCCAGTGTCTCATCTCCCTTTTAGTTTACTGCTTGCCTTTCTCATTTCACTGAATTGTTATGTCTGACCTAATGAAGACTTTTTAGATTATTTAGAAACTGCTACCTTTTCTGCAATCTTACCTGTTTCAGAGCCTGGTGGAGAATCCAAACATTCAAAAACATGCCATCGAGGTGTCTGCCCTATCAATGAGGAAAAAGGCATCTGGCAATTTGGACAGTATCCATCATAAACTGGACGTATCTTTGGGGACACGTGTTTGCTTTTGTGAGTTCTACAGAGCTTTCCTGGAGTGGTCTCCTTGTCTTGGGACTGCTGACTACCATCTCCACAACTTGAATGTTGACTAGAAGCTGCAGAAGTCTGACAATCTGCTTCTTCAAGGGATATTTCATGGTCCTTCACCTTCTCTCTAGCTTCCGTGGCTCTTTTTCTCTTTCTATTCCGTTTTGACTGGTATTTTCCATCTGTTCCCTTTTCAACAGATTTTAGAATATTTTTAGAGCAATTATTTGGATCAACTTGTTTTGGTTTTCTTTTAGATTTGTATTCCCAAATGTCTTCTTCGGAAAAAATGTCTTCTAACATGGCAAAATGATTTTATCATTCAAGAAGTATTAATCTTAAGTAAATTGAGAGTCCATTTCTTGTCACAAAAAGTTATGGAATTATTTTCCTGAGAAAAATATAAAGGTAACAAAGCCCCCACCAACTCAATGAGACTCTAAAGGACTGTTAATGAACATATTGGCAAGCTAGAAAACTTGAGCCTGAGAACACCTACTGTTCCATTTATACCACAATAAAACTAAGATAAACCTATCACAGGAGCAGCAACTGTGAAGTTTTCCATTATGAGTGCCATTTCATTCAACTATCTTGGCTTTTTCCAGGACTTGATTCATAAGAATAAGAATCAATAATACTTAGAAAATTAAGCACTAATGGGAAATATAGGTTCAACAGCTTCATCTTAAAATGAGCTTTGAAGCTACTGTCAGTTCTATTTCAAGTGGACAACCGTCCAAATAATTCATAAATCCAACCACAGTTACCGGACAAGTGGCTCAACAGGTGTCCCAAACACTAAATGGCTATCTCAGTTTACTAACAAAACTAGTCACAACATAATCAAAGAGGGGTGTAATTCGCAAAAAACCGCCAAGTCACTGCTCTTATCCACAACTAATGGATGTTCAACTTCGGTTTCCCGGGACAGTCCATGATCTTCCTCCAGCAGCAACGAACAATCCCTGCACAGTGAGCAAAAAAAGTTCAAATATGTGAAGAAAAGTTCAAATATGTGGAAGGGTGGGCTTGTATTGAGGTGTGACGCCGTAATGCACTAATGGTCCTGAAAGTGGCCGGCCCCCTGTCCACCAGGCTCAAAACGGAGTCACAGGCCAGCCTCTCCCTTCTCTTCTGGCATTAGAGGCTGCAAGGCCAGGGAATGGGGCCTTAACCCTCTCCAGATTAAGCACAGCCAGCTCCAAAAAAACAGAGCCCTCCCCTTCTGAAGACTCTGAGGCCAGCCCTCAGGGACCCTCGCCGCCGCCCACCTGCCACTGGCGCCCCGGGGGAGCCGCTTCAGCTGCTTCCGCTCTCCCCCGCACCCCCACCTAAAAATCTGTTCGCGCTCGCACTTTCAGCACTCCCAGATGACAAAACGCTGTATTTGTTTATAAGTGAAAGCCACTTCCGCCAGTCACTCCCACCTTACAAAAAGCCTTCTCCCTTGAGGTTATCCCTACACCCTTTACCTTTAGAGTCTTGGCGGGAACAACTTCCCGCTACCACAGTAGCGTGTCGAATCGGCGGATGCTGGTCAAAGAGACTTTAAAAATAATTTTTAAAAATAGGCTGCCCTTTTAAGTCCTTACAGATTTACTATATTTTATTTTTGTCCTAAAGCCCGCTAATTTCTAATGTGAGGGTGGGGGTGGTTCCCTTACAGCCTCTAGGACCCTGTCCCTGAAGCCTTTTCCATGTTGAATCTGGCGCTCTCAATGTCCAGGCTTGGCTGAGGCGTGGGGACCGAGAAAGGGCGGGGTAGGTCGGGACGGCAGTTTAATTACGTGCCCGGGAACTGCGACGATTTGGACTTTTGGCACTTGCACGTATTAAAAAGAAAAAAGTGTCGTTGGCGTGGAGTGGAGCTGGTGGAGGGTGAATGCGCCCTTTGGGAACCACAGGACAGTGAACGTTTCGTCTGTCCCAGTGAGAATCTCCCGCGGGCCCGGCGGCCGCTTCGGGAGCCCGGAGGGAACATGGCGGCGCCCGGAGCCCGGGGCCGCAGCCTCTCCGGCCTACTCCCCGCGCAGACCTCGCTGGAGTACGCCTTGCTAGACGCCGTCACCCAGCAGGAGAAGGACAGCCTGGTCTACCAGTATCTGCAGAAGGTGGACGGCTGGGAGCAGGACTTGTCTGTTCCCGAGTTTCCGGAAGGTGAGGGGCTGGCGTCGGGGTGGGGGCCCCTCCTGGCACCTCCCCTTCCTCGGGGATGGCGCTCTCCCCCGAAGCGGTGGGCTAGGCGGGTTTGTGTCGCTGGCGTCCGGGGGAATGGCTCTTCGCCCGACGTGGGCCGCTGCTCTTGTGCTCTGCAATTCCAGATATCCCCAAGCGGCCACCGACGGTGGGTTTCTCGGAGACTGAGACCCACGTACTCGTCTGTGTATCCTGAGTCCTGCCCGCCCCTAATGTTAGTCAAGTAGAGTCAGTGAATGTTTAGTGTCCCCGTTGGCGATGATTGCAACGTTCACACCATTCTGTCCGTTCAGTCTAGTTCCCCAGTGTCGTCTCGTCATCTTTTTGCATCACCTTGACATTTATTGACCATTTTTTCTTGTACCACGCAGTTTTTTTTGTTTTTTTGTTTTTTTTTTTGAGGCGAGTCCGGCTCTGTCACCCAGGCTGGAGTGCAGTGGCGTGGCCTTGGTCTCACTGCAGCTTCCGCCTCCCAGGTTCAGGCGATTCACCTGCCTTAGCCTCCGGAGTAGCTGCGACTACAGGCACGTGCCACCACGCCCGGCTGTTTGTTTATTTATTTTTGTTAGAGATTGTGTTTCATCATGTTGGCCAGGCTGGTCTCGAACTCCTGCCCTCAAATGATCCGCCAGCCTCGGCCACCCAAAGTGCCTGGCGTGAGCCACCGCGCCCAACCTGCCACACAGAGTTCTAAACACTTGAGGGAATATTTCCTTATTCAGTCATCTCTATAGCCCAGTGAGGTGCTCGTATCATTCCTCTTTTACAGTTAAGGAAATGGAAGTACAGAGAGGTTAAGTAACATGCCTAGGGCCTCACAGCTGATAACTGCCCCAGTTGGATTGACCTTAGATTTGCTGATTTCTTAGCCCGTGTCGTGCTTCTCCGCTCAAAGTCGTGAAACTAATACTTTTAAAAATCGGAATCAATTATAGCCTATCTCCAGGGTTTAAATCCTGGCTCTGTGAGCTTTTGAAGCATGAAGGAATAGATATTCCCAGCAGGGCTCTTTGTGAAGCACATCTCACCATGATACATGAAAACATATTTTACCTTCTTTGGATGGTAGTAGCATTGCTTTGCCTGGTGGTGCTGGCATGTGTCCCGGAGTGACACTGAAACCACATGTATAGTTAATTGGTTGGATGTGGCAGAGTTCAGTTATCTCGTGGGTGGTATATCGGAACCTGCCTCTGACAACGAAGTATTTGGTGTCTTTCCAAGCCTTTTGCACTACCCATGTTGAGACGTGCTTATTTTTCCTACCATTAATCTTATATTGGATTTGAAATATTGTGGAATTCTTACAAAAGAATTAGGTACATGAATGCTTATCCCATCAAATAACTTTGAAATATTGTTTACATCTATACAAACACATGCTTTAAAAATTTTTTCATAAGAAGGTAGTTACTTAGTAGGTACACTTATCAACAAGCAGGCCATCAGCTGGGATTTGGGGAGTGTTTTTTATTTTCTAGTCTTGTTTGTATTTACAGGGAGTGTATTTTATTCCCATGAGATTTGACCTCTGTGACTCATAAGTAAAAAACAGATAATAAAATATTCAGGCTTTGTGTTTAACATAGTATGATTTTCTACTGGATCCAATTATTGAGGATAGAATGTTAGAAATCACTATTTTCTTGGTTTCTTTAGCAGTAAACTATAATCAAGAAGTCATAAACATAACTTTATCTCAAAAACTGTATGCTTTGTTCATTTCTTAGAAGACTCGCATGTTTATGGGGACAGTGCAGTGTAATGGATAGATTTATACAGACCTGGATCTTTGTTAATCCATTTTGTTGGTTGTGTGATTTTGAGCAAGTTACTTGACCTCCAAGCCTTATATTTCTCACTTGCAAAATTGAACTATTATTTACCTTTCAGGATTATTATTTGTATTGAAAGTAATGTATGTAAAATTCTTAATTCACAGAAAAGCTTACTAAATGTTAGCAGCTTTTTATTGTATTCATTGTAATTATTGTTGTTATAAAATACATTATTATTATTAATCCTGGTAAGAAGCACAGTGAGATGTAGTCTTTCTATACTCCCTGATTTAAGTCACTCTTCACTATTTACAGAAAAGTCACAGAAGACATTCATAAATATTTTGCAAGTAGGATATGAAATATACATTAATTAATGTGAAGTTTTGTATGATCACTTGATTTGGTATATAATTAATACTTTAACAATGGATAATTAAGAGGTCACTGTATCTTGAAATCTCATTAGTTTGGACTAATTGGCACAAATATTAGTTTGATCTGCAGATTTTTTTTTTTCTAGAATTTTGTTACAATTGAGTAACTCCAGTTGTTGTTAGTCATTAGCTGTTACTGTTTACTTGTTCCTCCCAACTTTGGCTTTCAGTTGCTAAAAACTGTTCCAAATACCTGCTTCGAGGTATAATTAATAGTTTTAATAGCTGCATTGATTGACTTATAAGCAGTAAACTTTGTTTTCTTAACTTGGCTAAATAGGGATGCTGTACTTTATTATTAGTTAACAAAACCTTTCTTCATATACAGAGTTTTCTTTTTTTGGAGGAAAGGGAACATGTTCTTCATCAATGTTAATGTTACCTCAATGAAATCTACAACAGTAATAAGTATATTTTACTTAACTTTACATTTAAAATACTTTATTTTGTATTTAAGGTCTCATCCAAATCCAGAATATTTCAGTTTCTTCTCCTTTAGGAAATTGTCTTGGGCATTTTGTATGTTTATCCTTATATACATTTCACTCCTTTTTGATGTTTAGTTATATCTTACTATTCTTAAGCTTGACCTTTATTCTCGGTAGCCCATTAGTATCTAATTGTCTATGTAATTAGGTTCATGTGGTATTTGATATTTTTCTTTTTGCCGAAGTGTGTTGCTCTTACTCCTTTTCACAGACTATGACACTATTTCTGAAAGAATTTAGTAGCTTTTTCTTGCTTTATTTGTAGACAGCATCCTAATAGCGGCTTTCGTGTCCTTGACTTCTACTCCCTCACCTGTACCCCCATCCCTTCCTTTTCTTTCTTCCCTTTTTGAGCTTTTTATCTCTACTAATTTGCTTTCTTAGTCTTTTCTTTCAAACCACAAATATCTGTTTAGTCACAGTCATAAAGATACGTTGGTAGAAAATGGTGGTTCAGAGTATATAATAATAAATACATCCAACTGCCACAGCCTTCAAATGGTGCTAGTCTCTCTTAAAGTGTTTGACTATTTGCACAAATCTTTAAAAAAAAGTCATATTTTAATAGAAAGTTTTAGATAAATTTTCTCTCTTTTCCTTTAATCATTGTAATTTATTTTATGTAAATTTCAGGATTAGAATGGCTGAACACAGAAGAGCCTATTTCTGTCTACAAGGATCTATGTGGAAAAATAGTCATCCTCGATTTCTTCACCTACTGCTGCATAAACTGCATTCACCTATTGCCTGATCTCCGTGCATTAGAACACACATACTCTGATAAAGGTATCTGTTCTTTAATTAGTTTCTAACAGACTGTCCTGGCATAGTCACTGGAAGAGTGGCTGACTCATTAGCTCATAAGAGAATGAACATTTGGCAAGACTTCAGTGATTCTAAAAGTAATCTCTAATCTATGAATTAAAGACTTCATGTACCTTTTTATAAAGGGTTAAGCTTAGTGATAGTGGTTTGCCTATCTAAAGAAAACCAGCATTTAGTATATGGTTTTTCTCCGAGGATAGGGGTATAATTTGCTTTTTTCATGATCAGATATTTTAAAAGGCCTTTTTCTATGTTGAGGCTTATTTAAATTTGTTCTGTTTTTTAAAAATGAAACGTGACCTTAATTTTATACTCTTTTCACTGTGATAGGAAGGTTTAAAGTTCTTATTAGACAATGAGACTAGGCTGTCATTAATATGGAATGACATGAACTGCAGTGGAATGCAAAATATAACAGATACTCTTTCTTTGACACTGCTTCATTAAAAAATTATTATTACAACTAATGTTTTTCACAGCAGACTAGGAAATCCATTTTTATGGTATTACAAATTCTAAAGATGTAGGAGATTAATTGGCTTTAGAAGTTTGAAACATTAATGAGATTTTTTTTCTTGTCTACTTTCTAAAAAAAGAACATGGGGGTAAATGAAATTAATTAAACATACCATTTAATTAGGTTTAAATGAATTGAAGCGCTAATCCTGGAGTGGATTAAAAAAAAAAAAAGAGGGTCACTGATCCTGTGATAGTAAGGATGAGAATAGATTATATATGTACAAATGTAAAGGATATTCTGAAACTTACTTTAAAAGGGAAGTGATAGAGAAATCTTCAGTGCAGCTGAAACTTCAGATGCTTCTGAATTGTAATAGATTGTATGTTAAAATTACTAGTCAAATGATTTATCAAGAACTCAAGTATTTCTACTAGCTAAATCATGTTATTATAAATTTATCTATATGGATTTAAGAAATATGGATATCTTATTATCTCCTAGGTTTTGGATGCCAGTATTTCTTGTTCAAGACATCACATTTATTGAACATGTGTTATGTGCAGGGTACTCTGCTAACTGCTGAGGAAATATGTAACAAAATTGAATTAAAAACATTATGGAACCTGAGGAAAGGAATAAGTCACTTTGCCTAGAAACATTGGAAAAGATTTCTCAGAGAAGGAGACAATTGAGCTAGAACTTGAAAAATGAGCAGGAGTGCAGCTGAAAATGAAAATGGGGCAGAAGGGACACTCCTGGCTGAGGAAGCGTCAGGTAAACAAGCATGGAAGCACAGAGGAGTAGGATTCTTGCTCCAAGAACAGGTAAATAATTTAGTGTGGCAAGATTGTAAGGGTTCATGGTAAAAGTAAAAGGAGACAAAGGTAGGTTAGGTTAGGGCCACATTGTGAAATGTATTGTATAGCGTTCTTAATAGTTTAGACTTTTCCTTCTGTTGAGGATATAGAGATACTGAAGTTAGGTTTTGATTTGTTTTTTAGTAGAAGGATGACATTTGTGTTTTAGAAGGCATTACACATGGAGTTAAGAATCTCAACGTTTACCAGTTCCATACCTAAGATCACCCCTAAAAAGACTATTTGGTGAGCTTGTGGTTAACTCCATACCTGAAGCAGATTCAGTGACTTCTAGAATGGATGGATCCCTATAATCTCCAACCAGTTTACTGGAAACATTGTTTTTATAGCACATTGTGACAAAAAATTAAAAATATTTTTATTTACAAATACACTTCTGAAAAGTAAAATACTTTGTAGGTGGAGTGAGTATTCGCTCTCAGTTTCAACAAAGAATCGCAAATCATACACAAAGATACAGGAAAATGCAGCCCATTCAAAGGAAAAAATAAACCAATAGAAATTGCCTCCGAAAAATATCTGATAGCATATTTATGAGACAAAGACTTTAAAACACTGTCTTAAAGATGCTCAGATAACTAAAGGAAGATATGGAATAAGTTAAAAAAAAAAAAAAAAAAAACATTGTATGAAGAAAATAGAAATAGCAATAAAGAGAGAAAACCTAAATAGAAGCCAGAAGGAAATTCTGGAACTGAAAAGTGCGCTAACTGAAAGGAGAAACTCACTGCAGAGGCGGGGCTCCTTGACTTACAATGCAGCTGATAAACTGATGGTAAACTGAAAATATCATTAAGTTGAGAAAGTATGTTAATGCTTGACAGCACAGCAGATGGTCTCTGACTTATGATTCAACTTAAAATATTTTGACTTAATGGTGGTGTAAAGGTGATACTCAGTAGGAATCGTAAATCATAAGGATCTCTTTGACTTACAGTGGGATTATGTCCAGATAGACTCATCGTAAAGTTGAAAAATCATTAAGTCAGACCCTCATAGGTCAGGGGCTGTGGAGAGATTCAAAGGCAGATTTGAGCAGACAGAAGGAAGAATCAGTGAACTTGAAGATAAGGCAATGGAAATGATTGAATCTGGGGAACAAACAGAACAGAGATTGAAAAAGAGTAAACAGAGCCAAAAGGACCTTGGAATACCATCAATCAAACCAGCATATGTATTTTGGCAGAGAATATTTGAATAAATAATGGTTGAAAACATCCCAAATTTGATGAAAAACATGAACACAAACATCTAAGAATTTTAGTGAAGTCCAAGTAGGATGAACTCAAAGAGAACCATGCCAAGACACATTATTATCAAACTGTCTAAAACCAGAGAGAGAATTTTGAAAGGAGCAAGAAAGAAGCAACTCATCACATACAAAAAAAATCTTCAATAATCAGCTGATTTCTCATCAGAAACTTTGAAGGCCAGAAGGCAGTGGGCCAATATATTCAAAGTACTAAAGGAACAAAACTGTCAACGAAGAATTCTACAACTGGCAAACTGTGCTTCAAAAGTGAGAGAGAAAGCAAGACATTTCCAGATAAACAAAAGCTAAGGGAGTTCATTACTAGACCTGCCCTCAAAGAAATGCTAAAGGAATCTGAAATGAAAGGTCACTAGGCAATAATTCAAAGCCTGGGAAGAAATAAAGATCTCAGTAAAAGCAAATACATGGGCAAGTATAAAAACAAGTGTTATTGTAACAATGGTGTTTAACTCCATTTTTTGTTTCTACATGATTTAAGAGACTAAAATTATTCTAAAAGCTAATGTTATTGTGATGTCACATTTTGTTTTCTGTGTAATTTTGTTTGAGACAGAGTCTCACTCTATTCCCCAAGCTAGAGTGCAGTGGCACAATCTCAGCTCACTGCAACCTCTGCCTCCCAGATTCAAGCAATTCTCCTATCTTCAGCCTCCCAAGTAGCTGGGATTACAGGCACCTGCCACCAGACCCAGCTAATTTTTGTATATTTTTGAGTAGAGACAGTTTTGCCATGTTGGCCAGGCTGATCTCGAAGTCCTGATCTCAGGTGATCCGCCCACCTCAGCTTTCCAGACTGCTGGAATTACAGCCATGAGCCACTGCACCCAGCCTGTTTTCTATGTAACTTAAGAAACTAATGCATTAAAGTAAATATTAGTTTATATATTTGGAGATATAATGTATAAGCATGTAATTTGGGGATATCAACAACCGAAAGGGGTGGGGATGGAGGTGTTAAAGGAGCAGAGTTTTTGTGTGTTATTGAAGCTAGCATAAATTCAGATTAGAGTATAGTAACTTTAAGATGTTAAATGTAATTCCCCTGGTTACCACAAAAAGGAAAAAAAAAGCTAAAGACTATACACAAAATGAAATAAAAGAATTTAAATGTTTCACTACAAAATAAAAATCCACTAAACAAAAAAAGACAGTAATGTAGGAAATGAGAGATAAAAAAGCTCTAAGGCATGTGGAAAACAAATAGTCAAATGACAGATTAGTCCCTCTTTGTCAATAATTACTTTAAATGTAAATGGATTAAGTTCTCCAATTGAAAGGCAGAGGTAGGCAGAATGAATAAATAATATATTTCAACTATATGTTGCCTTCAACAGACTCACTTTTGATCCAAAGATACAAATAGGTTAAAATCGAAAGGGTGGAAAAGGATATTCTATGCAAATCGTAACCAAAAGAGAGCTGGGATAGCTATGTTAGTATCAGACAAAATGGACTTTTAAATCTGAAAAGGTTAGACGAGACAAAGGAGGACATTATTTGCTAGTAAAAAGCCCAAGCCAAGCACAAATTGCACCTGTAATTCTAGCTACTCAGGAGGCTGAAGCAGGAGGATTGCTTGAGGCCAGGAGTTAGAGACCAGCGTGAGTAACATAGCAAGACCTCATTTCTTAAAAAATTTTAAAAATTCAATACATAGATGTTATGATTATAAACAGTTATTTAATAACAGACAAAATATATGAAGCAAAAATCGACAGAATTGAGGGGAGAAATAGACAATTCTACAATAGTAGTTGGAGAATTATGCCCAATATATACAGGACACTCTCCCCAGCAAGAGACACTACCCAACAACAGCAGGATTGCATGTGGGACATTTTCCAGGATAGACCATAAGTTATGCCACAAGTTAATCTCAATAGATTTATTAAAGATAAATATTAAAGCATCTTTTCTGATCACAGTGAGATGAAATTAGAAAGCAGTAACAGAAGGAAAACTGGAAAATTCACAAATTTGTGGAAATGAAACAGTACTCTTTTAACCTGTGAACCAAAGAAGAAAACACATGGGTAATTAGAAAATACTTAAAGATGCATGAAAGCACAACATAACAAAACTTATGGCACATGGTGAAAACAGGGCTAAGGAAGAAATTTATGGTTATAAATGCTTATATTCAAAAACAAGAAATATTTTAAATCAGTTTTATACCTTAAGGAACTAGAAAAAAACAAACTAAACCCAAAGCTAACAGAAGGAAGGAAATAGAGTCAAGCAGAGAGAAACAAAATAGGTAACAGAAAAGTAATAGAAAAGAGCAATTTAGGTACAACCAACCAAAAGTTGGTCTTTGAAAGTACCAGAAAAATTGATAGACCTTTGGCTA